GATAAGAAATAATATATAAATAAGCCGGCGCGACTTTAATCAAAAAATTATTTCGGCTTAGCTCTCGATATGAAGGGCATCACCTGTGTTTTATTAGTGTGTGTATTTATTTCTTCAAGTCTCGCCCAATGGGACAATCATTGGCAAGCGGGTAGAAGTACCATTGTGCATCTTTTTGAATGGAAATGGGACGACATTGCCGACGAATGTGAAAGGTTTTTGGCACCCAAAGGGTATGCTGGAGTCCAGGTAAAATAACAAATAGAAAGCAAAAGATAAGAAATTAAACATTATTTGGTTACCAAAAGATTCCTTAGCTCAGTTACCTACATTCGCAACGTCCCTACGTAGGGAACTGAGCTAAGCTTTTATTCCAGTCCCATGAGTATTTTTTATCCTTAAGATTCTTGTGTAATTAAAAGAAATACTCACCCCTAATTAGCACAAAAAGCTTTATTTAAGCGGACACGTGTTTCGACCACTTCATCAACGCGAGACTGATAATGCCCACGTATGAAGTGGGCAAAACACGTGTCCGCTCAAATAAAGTTTTTTGTGGTAATTAGGGGTGAGTATTCCTTTTAATTTGTAATTAATATTTACCACAGTCTCCTCTTTCTACTTTAAACATTTGGGGTTTTAAAGTCTTAGTTATAGCGAGTCTAAACTGGACTTTATTCCAGTCCTGTGGGAATTCATTACTTTTGAGATTAAAAGAATATAATTTTTGGGATTTTAAAAATAATTCTAGTCTATTGTTTTATTTTCATGGTAATTTTTTTTGCCACTGTTCGCAGATATCTCCGCCAAGCGAAAACGTCATTGTAACCGATCAGGCTTATAGACCATGGTGGGAAAGGTATCAGCCAATAAGTTACAACCTTGTTACTAGGTCTGGTAACGAGGAACAATTCATTAACATGGTGAGAAGATGCAATAATGTGGGGGTAAGGTAGGTGTGTACTCAGTAAATAAATATTTTCATGTTTAGCAGTAATAATTTTCGTATTTTCGATCTAACGAATTATTAAAAATTTAAATACTTATTAATTATTTATCCAATTGGAACAAGTTTCCTTTTCTGATGGCAGAATTGGTTTTACGATTAACACAAATCCTTCATCTATTTAAGTCTATATTACAAAAGAACTTGTTTGATTTAAAATATAAAATGGTTTAGTTATTTGCATTCTGGTTGAACTAGCGAGAAAGTATCTTTAAAATTATTTTTAAGAATTTATGCCGATGCTGTTATCAATCATATGACTGGTGATCGTGGGGATGCTGTTGGAACAGGTAGTAGCACAGCAGCGACAAGTTCTGAGGAATATCCCGCAGTTCCATACCATGCTGAACATTTTCATCCATCTTGTTCCGTTAACAATTACAACGATGCAAACAATGTTAGGAACTGCGAATTATCTGGTCTTAAAGATTTGGATCAGGTACTTAGTTTCGACGTTAATTAATCAATTGGGTACTTCAGATTAGTTAGCTACAACTCCAATCTTTCTAATTCCTTTATGAGTCTTACTTTATCAAGTGTTTCCATTCATTTAGGACATTGTACATCTTCTCTTTTCTTTTATTTTCTAATATTTGTTTCCTATTTCCAGAGTTCTATCTATTTCTTCATTATTTGTAGTTATAGTTAGTCATTTTTTGGCATTCATTTGTTATCATCATCATCATAAAACTTTTTCATCGTCCTCTCATCCATTCTTTTCTGATATTCTCTTACTCATTTATGAATGTCTTCCATATCACCCCAGAGTTTCCTTTCTCATAATCCAATAAACTTAAAATAGATGAAATATGAGTTTAGAGTTGGTTAATAAACGAAAGATTGACATTATTAATTCGAATAAATTCAGATTAACATTTCTAGAGTAACAGCTATGTTGCTGGGAAAATTATCGATTATATGAACAAACTCATAAGCTATGGAGTTGCCGGATTTAGAATTGACGCGGCTAAGCACATGACTCCTTCCGATTTGAAAGTGATTTATGATTCTTTAAACGATCTTAATACAGAGTATGGGTTCCCTGCCAATTCTAAGCCATTCATCTATCAGGAAGTAATAGATTTAGGTAAGACTAAGAAGGTATTTCCAGTGTGACTTTGAGAAACTCTTAAAAACACCTTCAATTAAACGTTTTGCACTACAGGGGGCGAAGCAGTCAAAAGTACCGAATATACTGATTTGGGAAATGTAATAGAATTCAAATATAGTTCTAATATTGGTCGAGTTTTTCGCGGAAATGATAAGTTGACGTCTTTAAGTAATTGGGGAACAGGTTGGGGATTCATCGATGGACTGAATGCACTTGTTTTTGTCGATAATCACGACAACCAAAGAGGCCACGGTGCCGGAGGTGCCGAAATTTTAACATACAAAGTACCAAAGCAATACAAGATGGCCATAGCTTTTATGTTAGCTCACCCGTTCGGATCCACACAAGTCATGTCTAGTTTCGATTTCGAAAATAGTGATGCAGGTTAGTAGATATTTATTTATTATCATCAACTATTAAAGCCGGACTTTAACCCAAGTTAACCCAGCTCCTCAAAATACAGAATTTGTATCTCGAAATTCTTTTGTTACGCGGTCATGTATGTGTCATCCTAATTTTCGTATTATTATAAATTTGTATCGATCATCACAAAAGTGTCTTCTCATTTTTGTTAGTTCAATGAAGTTGGGTCTCCTAGGTTTGATAAATAGACTATTACGTAGTACCTTTTGGTACTATCATGAGCCAGAGTTTACCCCTGACTTTCCCGGAAACTTAAAGTGTATTCCTCATTAAATTTCAAGGACCACCTCATGATGATAACGGTAACATTTTATCGCCGTCGATTAACGCTGACGATACTTGCGGAAATGGTTGGATTTGCGAGCATAGATGGCGTCAAATTTACAACATGGTAGGATTCAAGAATGCGGTCGAAGGAACGGAAGTCCAAGAATGGTGGTCCGATGGTAACCAACAGATTTCTTTCTGTCGCGGAAATGCTGGCTTCGTGGCTTTCACTAACGAAGGTGATTTACGAAACACGTTACAGACATGTCTCCCATCCGGAGTTTACTGTGATGTTATCAGTGGAAAATTAGATAACGGAGCTTGCACTGGGAAATCTGTGACTGTGGGCAGCGATGGTACAGCTCATATCGAACTTCTCAGTTCAGAAGATGACGGAGTACTTGCCATTCACATTAACGCAAAACAATCATAAACTTTTAATTCGTCTCTTAATTATTTATTTCCTTGTACTACGTTACTTGTTAATAAATTTGAAGCAATTTAATGATAGTTTTTGTCATTTTCAACGCTTTTTTAATCAATTATGTTGGTCTATCTTATTATACCATATTAACACTTTGGGACGTAGGTACGCCTAAGGTTCCCTTTTAAATTACGGTAAAATATGGCGTAGTAATTAAAGAAGCCAATTTAAACTATTACCTAATCAACCAATACTTTCAAATTGCAAATAATCCATTTTAATATATTAGTCCCTAATGTTAAAGTTAAAATTAATAACTATATGATTATTGTGGTAAGGTTAATGTTAATATTTTAAACAATATTAGTTCTTCTGAGTGTAATAAGTATTTAAAATTATAAACTAACATCTACCACTTGGGTATAGTCGACGTAATTGTAGCAGTCATTTAAATAACAACAATAAAACAATTAGAAATGAGTAACAACTAAAAGTGAGTTAGGGTGGTGAAGCGGGTGATCCACGGCGTGGGGTACTTTTGCCAGCTGCGTATACGTTCTTGACTTATGTTTATTAAATTATTTATTGAATTTAATATGGTAATAATAATCAAAGATACATTTGAATCTTGTTATTTTCTACATGGGTACATTGAAATCCAATCCAACAATCAAATTGCAAATAATCCATTTTAATATTAGTCCCTAATGTTAAAGTTAAAATCAACAATTTTATAGTTATTATGGTAAGATTAATGTTAATTTTTTAAACAATATTACTTCTTCTGAATGTAATATAGGTATTTAAAATTATAAACTAACATCTACCACTCCGGTATAGTCGACCTAATTGTAGCAGTCATTTAAATAGCAAGAATAAAACAATTAGAAATGAGTCATAACTAAAAGTGAGTTAGGGTGGTGAAGCGGGTGATCCACGACGTGGGGTACTTTTACCAGCTGCGTATACGTTTTTGACGTTTATTAAATTATTTATTGACCCTTTGCCAGCACGTAAATGTTTTTAATTTAATATGGTAATAAATAATCAAAGATACATTTGAATCTTTTTATTTTCCACATGGTTACATTGAAATCCAATTTGTAAAAACGTTTATATAAACAAATTAAGAAGTTTATGATTGTTTTGCGTTAATATGAATGGCAAGTACTCCGTCCTCTTCAGAACTAAGAAGTTCAATGTAAGCTGTACCATCGCCGTTCACAGTCACAGATTTCCCAGTGCAACCACCGTTTTGCAATTTTCCACTGATAACGTCACAGTAAACTCCAGATGGGAGGCATGTCTGTAAGGTTCTTCGTAAATCACCTTCGTTGGTGAAAGCCACGAACCCAGCATTTCCGCGACAGAAAGAAATCTGTTGGTTACCATCGGACCACCATTCTTGGATACTTGTACCCAATGTGGCGTTCTTGAATCCTACCATGTTGTAGATCTGACGCCATCTGTGCTCACAAACCCAGCCATTTCCACAAGTATCATCATCGTTGATCGAGGGAGATACTATGTTTCCGTTTCCGTCTTGAGGAGGTCCTGAAATCAAATTTTTAACAGTAAGGAAGGAAATTTTGGTGTCCCAATAGATCTCTCATTGTCGAAATCATCTAATAATGATTTTTTTTAAATTCTTTTGTTATTTGGACGATCTTATGATGATGATGAAGATGAAAATGTGATGCAGAAGTTTTAGTATATCCAACGATTACCTACTTCGGGCTCTAAACATGGTAAATTAAAGTGTAAAAATGATCATAAAAATTGTTTGACCGAAACGTCGTTTTTTTTTTTAATTTTGGTTTATTAACTGATTGGATTACATACCTTGATCACTGTCGTCAAAGTAGAAACTAGACATGACTCTGGTGGCTCCGTAAGGATGTGCCAACATGAAGGCAATTGCCATTTTGTACTGTTTCGCAGTTTTGTACGTTAAAATATTTTCACCACCGGCGCCATGACCTCTTTGGTTATCGTGATTATCGACGAAAACGAAAGCATTTAGTCCGGGTAAAAGTCCCCATCCTTCGCCCCAATTGTTCAAATAAGTTAGTTTATCTTTACCTCGAAATACGCGTCCAATTTCGGCACTGTATTTAAACTCTGTTACAGTTCCCAAGTCTGTATACTCGGTAGACTTAACTGCTTCACCCCCTGTTAAAAGAATCGTAATCGGTAATCACTTATAATGAAACATGCACGACAACAAGAAAAATAAACAATTGAATGCTTCAACAAAATGGCCATTTGTACTGAAGCAAAATAATATTTAATGTTTAAGTGTTCATTCATTCTTAAAAAAGAGTTTTCATAAGTTACCTAAATCTATTACTTCTTGATATATAAAGGGCCTCAAATTTGCGGCGAATCCATGAGAAGTGTCGAGGTTATTTGTGGATTGATAAATAACTTTTAAATCGGAAGGCGTCATGTGTTTGGCCGCATCAAACCGGAAACCAGCAACTCCATAGCTGATGAGTTTATTCAGGTATTCCACCATTTTCTCTCTAACGTAGCTGTTTGACTGTGTTACATAAGACAGGGAGTTACCTTTTTATACAATATTTGTCCACAAACGAGTATTGGTATGAATTTCAATTAATTAATGGATAAAATGTTTTCTTTAATGATATGTTGCATTAAAGAACTGAACATTGTTAAAGTTGAAGAATGTTTGTGAAAGCAAAAGAAACAGGCAAACGTAATATAAATTGACGCAAAAAGAGGATTCTTTAAAAGATATGTGGTTGCAGATTCCAGTTGGTGATTGTTTATCCATAATTTGAATGTTATTGAAAGGTTTTCATTATATATCCGATTATACAGTTCAAAAGTGAGATTTCGAAACTGATGTTTAGCACTTTAGCTTTCAATGTATGACTGTTGATTTGTTTTCGAGATTAATAATTTTGGGTCTACCATTCATTTACTAAACAAAATAATAGACGTTAGTTAGTTACCTGGTCTAAATCTTTTAATCCTACAAGTTCGCAGTTTCTGACATTATATGCATCATTGTAATTGTTAACTTCGCAAGTAGGATGAAAATGCTCAGAGTAGTATGGCACAGCGGGAAATGATTTACTGCTAGGTGTTGCCGTACTTCCACCCGTTCCAACAACGTTATCATGGNACGTAGCTGATTTTATGTTCCATTAGTCGCGTCTTGACGTTTCTTCTTGTTTGGCTCACAAGTTAGTTTAGTGACCCCCTGCATTTGATTCTTTACTTGTTTTGTGTTTACTACTTTTAATAAATTGATGTAGATTGTTACTAGTTTTGAAAGCTATATTCGGATCTTTATTTCATAAAAATCATGTTTTTTTGTCTCCTAAATTAAGTATTGTATTATGTTTAAGGTTTTCAAATACTTTTTTAATATCTGATAAGCCAACTTACACTTTCTTAATTACTTGTTTTTAATACAATTAAATCACAATTGAAGTAAAAATGATTAGGAATATTCCTTCAAGCACTTAATTATGTAGTAATCTTATTAATTAAAACCCCTTAATTAATTTATAGATTTCAACAACAGATAAGTTACTAATTAATTGCCTAATAGCAATCCAACGAGATAAAATCTGCAATCAAATGCAGTTTATGGAATACGAAGATGACTATTAGATAACGGACACAATAAAATTTGATAAGAGTTATTACAGCGAGAAAAGGTTCACGTACATGTGGGTATTTAAACTTACATTATTATTTTACGATTTAAATTCTTTCAATCTATGACAAATTTACCTTATCTAAATGTTTTTAAGTAGGTACCTAATCTATTGTAAACTTTGATTTATACACCTATTGAATAATCTATTAACAGTTAAGTATTATTTTATAATAAAATAAAGAACAAAAAAGTTAATAAGTAAGTACTTACCTACTCAACAAAAATAAAAAAGATTGTAATTAATTTAAAAGTTGAGTATAAATCCCGAAGGCTGACGAAAAACCTAACTACCCTTCATTTAAATGACTTGTAAAAGTATATATGTTTTTAAAATAGGCCGAAAACCCCTTCTTTCAATTATTAATACAGTAATAATTCTTAAGTATAGTTTTGTATGTATTTAGATTAATTTACCATAAAATGGTAAAAAGGGTACCTACATTATGAATGCAACAACGTATTACTGAGTTAAAATGTTGAAAATAAACAATAGATAAGCAATTAAACTATTTTCTACCAACAGTTGTGCAATTTAACAGTCACACTTCACATTTTATTATTCTGAATATGTAATTAAAAATATTATAGAATATGTGAAATAGCTTTCACTAACGGGGGTGATATAAACAAAGAATATTCACCTACCTTCCAGCAAGCTTTTTTTGTGATATCACAATTACGAGTTTAGGGAATAGATGTACTGGTAAATTTGTAATAGTTAGTGGGAGCGAGGACGATGATGAAAATAAAACAAGAATATTGTTTAAGTAGACAAACTTTTATTTCTCAATCATTAATTCTATCTTCTCATATTAGAGTTACCCTAAAGAGAAATAATTACAGTAACAAATAAAAATAATGAAGGTCACATGCTTAGAATAATCAGGCACCACTAAAATACAAAAATCTCGAAGTTTTGAATACCTAAGTTTATAGGTTTAGAGAAAAAACAATGTATGAAAAGCTTCAACCAGGCATTAAAACTAAATTAAATCATCCCCATCACAATTACAGTATTCCAATAGTACCCAATTATTCTAAAACATGACTGAACCTGAGATATTTTAAAGGAGGTGATTCGTGAGGCTTTCCACTTAAGAAATGCTTTTTATTAGGTACATGTTATAAAAATGAAACGAATAAATGTAACAAGAACAATGATATTTATGAAACTACATTTAAAAGTTACAAAACTATTATTGCTTTTTAATTAATGAGAACATGATCAAAATACAAGGTTGTTGAATGTTTTGGTAACTTTACTAACAAAAGATTCGTCGATTGATTTAAACTTACATTAAAAAGAAATTGATTGTTTAAGGCACATACGAAAAGGCGAAGACTAAAATTAACAACTTTCAACAAGTTAAACAGTAAATTAAAGTGACAACAAATACTTTAAATACATGAGATATCCACTTATAAAAATATACATTTCTTTTTTTTTGTGAACAACTATTTTTTTTTACAAAATAAAATATACTGTGTACTATGATTTGATCTTTTCAAAGCAGCTCAGGTCAGGGGAAGTTAGCTTGGCATCCTTTAAATAGTCACACTGTAGGGCTTGATTGGCAGTTATGCGTTCCTCGGGGTTGTAATTGAGCAGAAGCTATGTAAAAATAAAAAAAAAAATTGAAATCAAAAAACTACAGAATAAGACTACAGCAGGTGGGCCCAGTATCAAACCGGTGTCCCTCTGAAGGCTAAAATAGAAATGAAATAAAAACTTACAATGATAAAATTTTCACCCTCATCACTCAAATCAGGGACGATTGTTTTCATACCCTTTTGGGGCCATACAGGAAATGTGGGCTTATAATCAGGCAGTTTGCTGATCCCTGGCCATATATTTTCATCAGGGGTACCTAATGCTCTAAATATTTTATAAAGCTGATCAATCTCGGAATCGCCAGGGAATACCGCCCGTCTGGTAAGCTAAAAGTGTAATATTTTCACTAAAAATAGTTCAAGATTTAAATCGCGTTGTATTGGGTACCATTTCGGCCATAATACATCCAACACTCCAAATATCTACACCTGTGCAGTAAATTTTAGCTCCTAATAAAAGTTCAGGAGCCCTGTACCATAAAGTTACAACTTCATGTGTGTAAGTTCGTACAGGCAGCGAAAACGAACGAGATAATCCAAAGTCAGCTAATTTAATGTGACCCTCTTTATCTAGCAACAAATTTTGTGGCTTTAAATCGCGATGCAAGATAGTATGAGAGTGCAAGTATGCAATTCCCTCCAATATTTGCCTTACATAATTCTAAAAGATGAAAACAGATGTAAGAGTTACATAAAGTTCCTGAACAATTTTGGAGAATCCATATTGTTAAAGCTTACTTTCAAAAGTTCTTCAGACATTACTTGCTTCAGTCTGTCAAGGTAGTGCTTTAAATCTATATCCAAATATTCAAAAACTAAATACAACTTTACATCAGTATAAATAACTCCTAGTAAATCAACTATAGAAGAGTGCCGTATGCCTTTTAGTAAACTTATTTCTCTGATTGCTGTTGATGGAACTCCTTCAGAGTCCCCACGATTCTGAAATCTGTTTTAATATTTCATTTAGTGGTATAATTGAAAGAAACAGCGACATTTACAAGCAAAGAAAATAAAATTTAAGTATAACTATTTCAAATATTTAAGTAAAATGAAAAGAAAAACAAAAAATAATGCAAATTAAAAATACATCTTTGCTTGACTTGGGAAGGGCATGATTTAGAAACCTATAGCTTTCATGAATTAAAAGAAAATTGTTAATTATCCATCTTCTTGATTCTTCCTGCAAAAAGTAAATGCTTTGTCTTTGAATTTAATACAAATTGTTGTAGGTTCATCAGCAATTCTGATAATCAGGTTAATTCCACTATTTTCTTCTTATTTGTGGTATATAAGTAATTTAATAAATTTANTCTTCTTTAATGAACTTTTGATATGACGTAACATCGAACTGATTCGAGTTTTTTTGCATTACAAGCAAAAGTGAAAATAGAAAACCTTTTGTTTTACATGAATAATTTTATTGTTAAGTACCAATGATCGATACGATAACAATTGTTTATTAATTAATTATTAACTGTTTGATAAATACCAGCAAAGGTTAGTCCTTTTATCATCGAAAAAAAAAAATTATCTACTGAATAAATAATTACTTGCCTGAACTCCAGCGTATCCCTTAGGTGCCAAAAATCTTTCACATTCATCAGCAATATCGTCCCACTTCCATTCGAAAAGATGTACAATTGTATTTTTGTTAGTGTCCCAATGTGTGTCCCATTGACCTTTACTGTAGTTGATGGTTGTTATAACAAATAAGATACAAATGATGTTTCTCATTTTCAGTAAGTACTAAAAATGAAATATACTTGCACCCGGATAAGTATATAATCGAAATATTAAGTTAATGTCAACTAGTAGCATGGGATTTAGCGCTTATTTATATATATATATCCTGTATCGCCTAGTATTTTTTCTAGTCAGTCCGTCAAAAAATTATCAATTCGTTGCTGTATATCTGCATGGTGATAAGAAGACACTTACGCTTTTCATTTATGGAGTGGTTTGTTTATGCGGTTTTATATCAAAACTGGAAAACGTTTTTAAATTTTGATACGAAATGCATGTAAACAAGTTCCAATGGAAAGTGCTAAAACAATTAGGAAAAGTGTTGTTTGTGAACCAACGATTACGAAAAAAGAATTCTGGAGTTTCATGTAGGCACTTATAAATTTTACATTTGTTATCATTTCCTTTATTAGAACGACACAAAGAGTGTAAAACACATATTTTTGTCAAAACACAACACACGTAGCCTTACGACACCCTTTTATGATTTTACATCACATATGCATATTAAAATTGGCTTGAACCACTGCAATTTTGTGGGTCCAAATTTGAAGATTGATTAAAAAGAAAACGAAATTATGAATTATTTCCTTCGTATTCGCAAAAATATATTTTTTTGTCAAAACAGAACACGTCACCTTACGACATCCTGCAGCGTTTTCATATCATGCAAATTCAAATTGTCTTCAATCATTTCATCAAAACACATGTCGCTTCTATTATCATAAAAATTAAAATTGGTTAATTAGATTTATTTCAGCTAACTTCGTTTGCGTATGTAAAAGGCCTAAATTTTCATCAAAAATTTGTTCATATTCTATTAAATGAAAAAAGAATCTTCTTAACGTAGCTGATTTTATGTTCCATTAGTCGCGTCTTGACGTTTCTTCTTGTTTGGCTCACAAGTTAGTTTAGTGACCCCCTGCATTTGATTCTTTACTTGTTTTGTGTTTACTACTTTTAATAAATTGATGTAGATTGTTACTAGTTTTGAAAGCTATATTCGGATCTTTATTTCATAAAAATCATGTTTTTTTGTCTCCTAAATTAAGTATTGTATTATGTTTAAGGTTTTCAAATACTTTTTTAATATCTAATAAGCCAACTTACACTTTCTTAATT